TTTTAAAGCATTGGGGTTTAGAGACAGTCAAGGCAAAACAGACTTTAAACAGGTATAAATAACCAGGAGGAGGCTAACTAACTTGTGGCTACAATCAAAGCGCCAGTGAAATTCAATCCTTCAGCACACAGTGATAGTACGTGACCTTATAGCTAGGTGGTGGGAGCCGCCGCCCAATCTAAGGGGCACAGCCAGATGCATCCATTCATTCATTCATCCATCCATCCATCTATCCATCCATTTTCAAGAAGCGTTCTAAATGATTATGCTACATGTGAACATTTTCACGCCCATAAGGGCATTTCTATCACTGAAGCACCCTTATTTCTCAACGATTTTCAAAAGGTGCAAGTACGACACGGACGCCATTTGCACACCTTACTTTAAATTAGGGTGCATGTAGGGCATATGTTCAAATATAACACCCTTATAAGGGGTAGGATGGGCGTGTTTTGGTCGAAATGCTACGTGTATAAATTTTATTATTTAGACTGCTACGAAAGCGTAACGAACACTAGAACCACAACTGATCTTAATCTAAGATGGCGCCTGCATCACATAGGAGTATGTATGTCGTGTATGTAGCGCTGATTGCTATGGTAACAAATTTGATAACCAACACAACCACCGCACTTGCTGTCGCAGGGACATTAGGTGCACATTCCAGAGCAATTTATAGACCTGGCTAGCTCTATAGTAGAACTGCCTCGCAGATTGCTTGGGTTTGATTCCTGCAGGGATGCTGTACTCTGTTTCACTAGTTATGTGCAACGTTGTGGAAGCTAGCGAGACTTCTTGCATTCGTTGCGTTCGCAAAAAAAGTAGTTCGACATCCTTACTACCAATAATTTAGTTTTTTGTTTGTTATTACAGCGAGAAGTAATTGAATACTTTATGTGCCTTATAGGGGTACTGACACAAAAAATTTGGCCTCACGTTTTTGTGCTGCAGTTCGTCGCTGTAGGGCTGTTAGGCATGACACGACACATTGTTGGCTGCAGCACGCGACAGATAAATAATTGCAGGCCCCTCATTATCAATCAGTTTCAGTTTCGGTTTGAGAGAGTTCCAAAAACTGGGTGCAACTGTCGCCACCTAGCGTGTGCAACTCTTGACCACGTCAGAACACAGAACTGTGACGCGCTTCCGCACGATCCGCAACAAGAATTACCTTCGAATAACAAATGGCACTGGAATGTCTCCAAACACACAACTTTCTAAGTGTGTGCCACGGCCCCGCACTCGCCACCAGCCGCCGAGAAATATAGACTTCGGGAACTAACGCGGCAAAAAATGGTGGCTATGACGTCATCATAACTTGTTTTGTTGACCACAACGTCGTGACGTGAGGGAAACAGGGGGTCACCTCCGAGGGTGTCTTTAGCGCTATGGAGTCGGTTGCTCACGCAAACTTCAAAATTACATTAAGATACCTTCCAAGCTATATTCGCTGTTGATATCTTGCAGATGATATACGGATGTTCACGAGAATCGACCCCGCAGGCTATCTCGGCTTCGAAATTTTGTGTCAGTACCCCTTTAAAAAGAACAACGCCGTTGAACGTCTGTTGTTATGTGGCTGTATAGCTTAGTTTTCACGGGACGTCACATACAGGCTATCTACTCTGGGTACATCACGATGGACTTTCAGTGTCAGCGCAGGATAGGACATCACAGGGTAGTTCGATACCCGCGTTCTTTTGTGCTTGCCCCGCTTTCTTCTGTTCGCCAGTCGCGCCAAAGGGGAGCACAAAGACACACGAGGATGCACCGGCACCTATCAGATGTCACGCGAGTGACCACGAAACGCGCGGAGTTATACGTTTTGCTGGTCGAACTGCTTGCAGTTCCACAGCGTTGCACCTGATGTAAGAAATGGATTATAATTTTCATTCATTGCATTCGTCGGGCCTACGCTGACGGTGTCGGTTTTTTGGTCGTCACACATATACAGACATGAATGGGAGGAATGTGGGTGGTGGCGCCTACATATGGATATTTTTGAAAAAGCGTTAGGATGTATGCGTGCTTAAGCACCTTTGCTATAAGAGTGTAGTTGTGACATTAACCCCCCTAATATTGTTACATAAAGAATGTAATTCCGTGAACGGTGCCCATGAAATGGACGTACTCCTGCGCGTTACGCCCCTTCTGTGGGGTGCACGAGTGTGAGTTTTAAACACCCAAACATTCACAGCATATCCACGGAGTGAATGATTGTGAGTGGCGCGAAGCGTCCCTCTATCCGTCCATCCATCTGTGCGTCCGCCCGTCTGTCTGTCTGGCGACGAGCGTGAGCCGCCGCGCTTCTCCGCGCCCACCCCATGCCCCACCATGCCACCCCGCTTCACCCCATGCCCCACCAAGCAACCAACCGACACGTACGGGGACGATCCAGGAGAGTGAGAGGCACTCGTTCCCCACGCATCCAGGCACAGACCGTGCAGCAGCCAATCGAAGAGTAGCGGTACGGCGCAACCTAGAATATTCTCACTCAACTGCAGTTTGTATGTAGTTCTATGAGACAGCGCCATCTATTATACTGTTCGGCCGATACTGCCGATTATACGCCTGATGTGAGACAAGGTTAGACTATAGAAAATTACAAAATCTTCGCGTAAAGGAAACCATGCTTAGCATGCAAAGCAGCGCAAGGGTCGACTTAAAATTCCGTTCATCCCAGGCATCTTGCTCGATGTTAACGCATCCTTGCAAGTGGAGCATACCATGAATTCACTGGAGTTCCTGTTGCTGTTACTCGTACCGGGCTCTTGTTGGAGCACGCCACGTGGGTTCATCACCACGCCACGCGGAAGCCATGTGCTCTTTCGTCCTTTATGAAAGGGAACACGGGAGCGCGTGGCCGGTGCTTTGCGGCGACCGCCTACAGCACCATCAATGTACAGTGAAAGAAAACCCGTTCGCTTTCAGCGTAATCTATCGGCGAACAAAATAGCCTGTCACGGCTGGTAGACAAGCTCTGCTGGATTATGCTCTCACTACAATAGCACGGCCGGCGAAACCTGCAGCGGGTTGTCTGTTGCGAACAAATACACCATGGTACGCGGACGACACACATTACAAATAACACGGCCGGCCACGACCAGCCCATATAAACCACCCTAGTCTGGAGGCGCGCGCCTCGAGAGCAGCTGTGACTGGCCATGACTGGTTATTTACTTCGCCGATAGATGACGCTGAAAGCAAACGTGTTTTCTAACGCCGTCGGTTGATGGCGCTGAGGGCGACCGCCGCAGAGTGCTGGCCACGCGCTAGTGTGTTCCAATTTTATAAAGGATGACAGAGTACGTCGGCAGGGGAACTTGCCCCCCTTGAGCTTCACCAGCATTCGCCCACACCCAAGCTACACCAGGGCTGTCCACCTTCCCGATGCAACATTAGTTTGCACCCCCAAGAGAAAGTCCTGCCTTCGACCATGGCGGGAGCACCAAGCACGTACGTTCATCGCGCGTCTGCAGTATCTCGTTCTCCGATGTCATCGCATGATTGCTAAGAGAGTGTTAGGGGGAGGGACCACAGTGTGTTACCCAGCCCTTTACACAGGCTGGAACATGCTAGCTCGTGAGCACGTTCGGGCAGTGCTTGGGACAGCTGTTGCGCTTGCGCAGTAACCTTGGTTATGCACACCGGATTGAACGCCATCATAAGCTGCTTCGCATATGTATGCGTGTAATGTAGTTTACAGTGTATCTTCTTACGGAGATAAACAGAAATGATTTCCAGCTTAAGCGCGTCGTGGGGTCTGCGTCAACGCCGATGGGCAACGCCTCTTCAAAGTTTTGGTTTCACCGTGAGGTCGCAACGGAACACACTTAGATTTTCATTTTTACGGGCGCTCCCTTTCAGGGCCAGCGGCAGTTGATCTCCATTATATTTGGCATTGCTCCTGGCATGTTTATCCTCAACGCTCACCAGGTATTCACGCGCTCGCTGTTCACTGCGTTTGCTGTGCTGAAGGCCGTCACACTCGAAAACGATGAAGTGCACACGTGACAACACAGCTCAGTGCACGAATAGGCGTGTTTCGTGTGCGCCGAGTAAAAATATAATGACGCGTTACGCGGTCTGAAATTTGCGAATAATTCTGCTAGATATCTATTCTTTTTTGATGATCAAATGATATCATAAGGTCCAATGACTAAATAACTGCTCCATGAACCCAATGTACGCGGTCATCACTGATTGGAGCATCGTGAGCTACATAGTTACTACGACTACACCCCCCCCCCCCCGTCTCCGCGCACTGAAAGTAAGCCCGCTTTTGAACTAAAAAAGAAGTGCTCAAGGTCACGACGCACCCTGATGAACGGCGTGGAGCGGAAACATCTTCTAGCCCCTTGTCATTACCCTATACGCATAGCTCTCAGTGCAGTTGGCTAAAGAAGTGATGAAGCACTTGAAGCCCACTACAGACCGCTGTACCTAGCCCCGCTTGTACGTGATGGATTCCGAAGAAAACTTGCGGCTGCCGATTTGTGACGCAATACACAATTCTCACGTGACGTCACAGGTAGCTTCTCCGCGTTTTGGGCCCTAAGGTGGCGGCCACAGTGTCTTTTTTATCTCATGAACGTGTCAGTGCAAAGGAGTACTCATAGTCGTTCGGTCCCCGCGTTCTTTTGTGCTCTCTCCACTTCTGTTCGTGAGCCGCGCCAAAGGGGGAACGCGAGGAACTCTGGCATGAATATATTGTCACCGTTCGGGCTCACGCAGCATCTCAACTGGAAGGTGGCGACCACTGGGACGTCAATGCAAACTGTGTATGGGCTATTTTAATGAAGCCATTCGGCAATATACTTTGGAGAGGGTTGCAGAACCCCTTGTTGATAACTCAAGAGTGTGTGCATAACAAGTGAGCTCTTTTTAAAATATTAAAGTGATGGCACTGCTGATGAACATAGCCCGGAAGTTCCTTTTACGTGCATCGTTTTATAGTAGACTTTAGCGACGCACAATTATAGGAAACTGATACAGAGACGACAGCGTGCAGAAAAGCTTTATTGATATACAGCAATTGATAGAGTGTGTATATGTACCTTGGTGTATAGTCGAGGCCCCACTTGTATGCATAGAGGCCTCGGTATTATAACGTATCATGTCACGCAAGTCCTCCCTTTCAATAACCGTCATAGCGAAGGCCGGCAAGACACATGCCATTTTGCTCGCTTATTGAGCGAACACGAGGACTTATCTTAAACGGACTTTCTCAAACAAATTCGTTAATCTCTAAGGCTGGTCATTGAAAGCGGCGCAAACGTTATCGGCTCATGTTTATTTTGATCGGACAGTGTATAGAAGTTATATGCAGAAAAAAAAATAAATCGTGGAACTACAAATATTTAGCGCCACCGAAATTTCAGCCCTGTGTTCTTCCTACACTAGCCAAGGTTTGACGTGCGGGATAATTTAATCACCCCACCTTGTCTGCTCCTGTAGGTCACTGACATGTAATTTACAGATTTTTGGAATTTGCGTGGTACAAAAAGTTAAGCATCACTTCCCTGCATTATCAAATGTCCGAATATATCACTCTCATCTGGACATAAATAATCAGGTGGCCACGAAATAATACGCAGTTGGAAATAATGCATTCCTCACACATGTCACTTCAAAGTCTCCTTATCAAAGGCACCTTTTCAATTCTTGCTAATCCGTTAGCTCTATAGTTTCTGAGGGAACTTCAAGGGTGACTATGATAAGAAAACACCTTCTTACCGTCGGTACATTTTTCCGCAGCCACCTGAAACTAGTGCCCTAGTTTTGGAAGTGACTGTCATCACACTGTCAGTTTTGAGCTAGTGTTTGAACAACGCCTGGTTTGAAACACATCCTGCACAGCTTCTCGTCCGCGTTTTACAGAAAACAGTATCGTCATCTGGTAGGCAACCGGTAACAAATAGTGAGCTCCGGTCATGTACCCGTGGTATGATTTGTAGTGGCATGTTTTTTTTTTCAATTGGGAAACAACATATATAGCTAACGTGTTGGGCAACCCGCTATTTGTTCGATTAAACCACCATCCCGCCACATGACCCCGCCGGTTGCAGTTAGTGATGTCGTCGCTCCTTCGCTCGCATGGCGAGCCTGGCCGCCCAGTGCGTGGGCTGCGGGTGAATGTGCACGTTGACCGGACCGCGGTGCCCTCGGCTCAGTAGTCCTGGCCGGTGCGGTATGTGCGGCGGGGCGTGGTGGTGGTGGTGACTGCTTGTGACCGTGCGCAGCCGCCGCTACTCCTGCCACAGCGGCGCCCGCCATCATACCTACTGCCGCGGCACCTGCCATGCCCATGGCAGCTGCTGCCGCCACTTTGGTGCTGCTGCGGGGGTGGCCTAACAACCTGCGTTGGCTGATCGAATAGACGGAGAAAAAATGAAAGAAGTGACTTTGCTCGGATACCGTACAACTTGACTTAGCGAAAGGTCGGATAAGAAAAAAAGGTATCTTTCACATCGACAATTGTGTGAATGAGAGATAGGAGTTACTTTAAACGTAGTTTGTCACATGATCACCTAAGTGTTATAAGGGTCACAACGCCGTTGGTTGGAGGGCAAGTTGGCACAAATCAACAGTGCTTTTTCAGCCTGAAATCACACCAGAATACAGGAGACTTTGAATCGTCTATGATTTTTTGGTGTCGTTTTGTGCTTTTTCCCGCAACACATCGGTCTGCTTCCCGCGGTCTAGTCGTAATGGTGCATTAAAGAGGAAAAGTGCATGCAACACGAATGTTCTACCGTAGAATGCCTGCGACTATGAACACTATCACGATGAAGTCTCTGCTTTACGTAAACTTTGTCTAGGACAGCGAATAGGGGGCGCACTCACCGCTGTTGTTGTGCCGGGCTGTTGCTGCACAATCACTGTGACGGGTGGCGCCGATGGTGGCGCGGTCACGTATGTGGGGTTGTAAGACGGCTGCACCACCACAGGCTGTGGTGGTGGGCCGTAGCCTGGTGGATAGGGAGCAGGCTGCACCCCGGCGGTGGGTAAAGTCGGTGGAGGTGACGGATAATAAGGCGGCGGTGGTTGTCCCTGGCCTCCTGCTACGGGTGCTGGTTGTGGAAAGGGTTGCACTCCAGCGGGTGGAGGGTAGGCTTCGTACGGCGAGCCTGCAAAGGGTTTACTCGTTACAAAGCACTGTCCAAAAAAGAGCGACATGGTTTCCTGAGGATGCTAACACATGCATATATAGATGGTGTTCTTTAGAAAAGTATAACGCCTGACTTGAAGGCAGAAGAGGCTACACGATGGCCCAGTTGTGTATCTTGCCTAACTTAACGCGATTGCGCTAATGATTTTAGAGACGCTGAACATCAGTAGAATGTGCCAACAGGACAGTTTATGATAAGTCATGGTGTCGCTGAGCGTATTTGTTGCACACGTTTGCGTGGTGGGTTAAGACTGGAGCTTCGCTAGATAATTCTTGTAAGTCATAGATTGTCGCAGTAGAGAGAGGAAGGCGAAGCGCCTTGTTTGACTAACGAGCTTCGAATGCCAGGGGCTGGTGAGCCCTTGGCGAATAAGGGGTCATCTAGTTGTGGTGGTGTGCTTGTCTTCGACTTTACTTATGAAAAGGTGAATGTATCATCATATTGTGCGAGTAATGAGCAAAACACTATATCTTGTGCAAGGGGTTGGTATAAAGTTTCTGCTTTAGGTCGATAACCAAAGCCTTCGTACACAATCGGGGATCTTATGCGGGGACGCTATCCTGAGTCAAGATATGTACACGACGTTTTCCATTGCGTCTGTGGTGTAATGGGCGTTTCTGTGAAAAGAGTTTTTAGCCATCCTGATCTTATAAAAGCTTATCTATAATATTTTGTTATATATCTGTAATGTTTATATGTTGACCGTGTAAGAGAGATGCACAAATAGGGTAATATGAGCATTGGCCCGCCAGGAGACTCGATGGTACACTGCATGCTACAGCCTCGTGCTTAACTTGTTGGGTGTGTCGACGACATTAAAATGCAGGAGTGCATCACGCATGATTAAACCAGTGTACAGATAGGGGGAGGGGGCAACGCAAGAGACGAAAAGCACTTCGCTGGACTCAAGTGCACTGTAGCTCTGATCTTTTAACATGTGCCTACATGAGCTGTGGTTTAATCATGAAGACATCAAATTAAGTGACACTTCGCAGTTTGCTGGCAATTTTATGACGTATTTTTATAACGTCTGGCAATTAGATCGCCATCATTACAATAATATATGTTAACGGCACACCGATGGCCCTTACTGGTTGTTTACAACTGATCATTTCTTGCATCAGCCCAATCAGTACAAGAGCTGGCGCAGTATTTGCTAAATACACGCGCTAGTTACACCACTTTGTATTTTGCCCACCTGGATGGAACTCCGTTTTGGCTATATAGTGCAACGGCATATCCAGGGGAGGGGATTGGGTAGGTAAACACCCCACTCCTACCCTAAAATCTTGACATTTTGTATTTGTATTATATGGCATATACGCGCCAGAACACGAAAACACACTTGAACATGCAGACAGCGAGACCGAAAAATAATAATAGCTAAGCATGTATATAAATGTCACTAACAGTGGAGACTTTGTAGTCACACGAAGAGCTTACAAGGTCCATGGCCAACTGCAGGCTTTCAGAAAAGAGCACTTGTCACTCTTTGGAAATATTGACCTACTGTGCACGATGCCGTCTTCCCCTTCATACTATTGGGAATGTGTAATGTTGAGATAGTGTGCTTGATTTTATGTGTAATCATATGTCTCAGTGTTATCTGACCTTTCCTTTTGGAACTTGTGATACAACACTTCAAACAAAAGGAAACGCGTAATGTTGAGTTAGCACGTCTTATTTTATGTCTAATCATCTGTCTCAGGGTGAAGTGACCTTCCCTATTGGATTGTGTTACAACACTTGCGTACATTCATGTGAACCTTTTAGGTATACCCGAACAGTCGTCTGATGTTGGGCTATGTCGTATTTTGACTGTTTGATTTTTAAGTCCCTATTATTTTTCTTACCACACATTTTGTCTGACAAGCGAAAAGGAGCAGACGAAGCCTCAATAATGGCACTATACTTTCCCATTTCATCGTTTTAGTAACAAAAAAAACTTCATTTTGAAAGATGATGGAAACAATTATTGCAGAAATTGGTGCAGGTACGTGATATGGTGGGGATCGAAACACTAAAACAGAGGCATGCTAAAGAACAAGCAAAAAAGACTAAAATAACACTTGATGTGCGCGTAGGTGGAGAAGTGGGAGCTATTATGCTGTTATTTATTAAATATTGGAAAGTTACTTGACAGCAAGGCATTATGCATCAGTGTCTTCTGAAAGCTGTGTCTCGGCTAAATATTGGCGCATGATCGTTGACAGCGCAATAAGTGCGTTTTCCGCGCCTCATAGTGTTTTCGCGTCAAGCCACCGACACGTACGAGAGAACTATACTTGTACTTGTCATACTTGCATGAGAGGACTTAGATGCAATAAGTGTCCCTTTGAACTGCGATAAACTATGTAGCCTGGAATGTCCATGGGCAGCCAAAGAGGACTATGGGCACCTCCTTTCCAAAAGTGGAGCTTAGCGAATAATAATAATAATAATAATAATAATAATAATAATAATAATAATAATAATAATAATAATAATAATAATAATAATAATAATAATAATAATAATAATAATATAAAATAATAAAATGTGGCGTCTGCTCGGGAAACGGCAGTCTTGCTACTATTCGCCATACTGCGTAGTGACGTCAGAACTTGTACTGAGCTGTAACATTGTAGAAAAGTTCTATATGCCATTCCAATAATTCTGTATATTTCCGTAACAGTGCGACGTGCGGGCATTGCATGCCATATTGGAAAGAAGGGAATAAATCTCGCGCCGTCGCATTCTGCTAGGATATGCGGTGACGTGGGTCAAGTTAAAGTAGAACTCACTTTGTCCCTTTCTTTCCACCTCACCGTAAAATGAACGAATGTTTGAATTATATTCTCCCGGTGGGAATTTTCATAACTTTCAAAGGCCATGTTCGAAGTGAAGTTGACATCGGCTTTGTCGGAGAAGAATTTGGACACCATCGGCTCAGCAGTGAAATTGCACAATGAAATCGACAAGTTCCGTCTTTCTTCTGCGGGCATTACCGTACATCCACATCAACATCGGTGGAGGAGCGGAGTATCACATCCGGTAATTTGTTGCGCGCTTGTGCGAGTAACTTTTTGATTATTAATGTTTTTTTTTTACTAAAACGCGATCTCATACTCCTTGTCGAGGTACTTGGGAATAGGAATATTATACGTAAGTGAGTACCAACCCCATCTGTAACGTCTTTATGTACCCTGAGGGTAATCGAAATAAATACTTGAGATAAATAAATCCCGGCAGCACCACTCTTACCGCTGGATCACGCTTGGTATCAGCGACAAAACGTGCGAAAAAAAAAAAATGCGGGTGGAGACGACAACATGAGATTCCCGCAGAAAACACTGTGACGTCATCAGTTTGTTAAGGCGTATTCTGGTTCCCACATAGTTTCTAATCGATGAAATTGAAGTACATTGTAATCACTGGGTGTCATAGACTTAGCATGCGAAGTCTTGGAAAATTTCATCAAGCCAATGTCACCAAAATACGAAAAACACATTGTGGGGTTTCTTACGTCACGCGTGCAGATAAATTTAAAACTCTAACTTCAACCTTGTTTCTCTATGATAATAATGCAATTATGACAGAGTGCTATGACATTAGATTCTCAGAGTGAAGTTTATCAATTTAAAACAACTCTCTGTTTTTCTTTAGTGTCCCTGTAAGGTATTTTACGTCTTGTGCCTAATATGTGAACGATGTGTTAACGAAAGAGTAAACACCCCCGCCAGGCGTCCTCTATTTCTACAAGCTAGCTAAAATGACGCCCTGAAGATGACGCGCGGCTTCAGTAAAGTAGTGAGTACTTGAAAGAACACTCATTTTATCTCGGTATCATCGATAAAGCGACGTGCAGCGTGGACAATAGCTTGGCGCCATGAGAATGAGACCACGAGGCTTTGGCTATCGACTGGCTGGAGTGCTTGATGTCTCAACGGCAAGACAATCTAGCTAACACAATAAGAGGGGAACCACGGAAGCAACGAGGTGCCAACATGGGAATTCTCCACAATGTATACTTTTTGTGATATGAGAGATCTAACTTCCGAAAGATAAAAATAGTGCTCTTATATCCGGTGCAAAAAGGGGAAACAAACAAACGTCATAGATTATTATTTTTTCATCACAACGTGGGCACCATCTTCAACATCGTGATGTCACTTTGGAATCAGGAACCCAAAAGTTGATAAGACAGGTGTCGTTTGCATTACATTACATCGTTGTTCATATGGTCATGAAGATAAATGTCGAATGAGTCACAATTTGCCGTAGGCTATCGCGGTCACTGTAACTACAAAATAATTGTTCCAGCCTGCCGTCTTCTAGTGAGAGCGCAGAAAACAATATAGGCACAATATTTCTTCTGAGAAGGAGAAGTTGTCTCCCAACTAACCTAAGGCTGAGCGCTTTCCTGTGGTAAGAAGCATCACATAAGAGCTTTATCGTCACGGCGTTGCATATCGAATGAATCTGCACGGAGACGTTGTCCATGCAGTCACAATCTTGCAAACCGTCGGGCCGGTGTTGAGTGCAAGTGCACACTGACGAGTGCATGGGCGAATTATAGAGTTGCGGGTTAGTGTACGCACGACGTGGGTGCATATGCGTACATCTGATATCTGGCCGTGAACTGGACCTTTCAGGCGGTGTATGCGAGTTGTAGCGTGGCAACTCAAGACGCACGCATGCGATGATACTTGCGAAATCGATGTCGTTGCTTTCGTCCGAGAATCGCCATACACTGAGGTGTCGTAGTATATATACAGCGAGGACATGAGTAAATGTTGACAAGAAATGTAGAGCTCACGAAGACTCACTCTAGAAATATATTTTGCCCTTAGGGCCCACTCTTGAATCAGACGCCCCATAATGTTTCTCAGTCGGGACTCGCTCGAGCTCAGTATAGCCAAACCTTCTAAATGCGAATCATTTCTTGGCGAACTTCGGCGACTTTGAGCGTATCTATC